CTTCTTCTTCTTTTCCTCCTTTTTCTTTTCTGTGTTCGCCTTTGAAAAAAAGGTGATTTATGCATTGCGTTGTTTAATTAAAACAAGCCTGCAGGATCTGTGACTGTCGGCCCAACACACACGATTGCAGCAAATTCTTGACGGTGGCCTTTTACGACATACTTGAAGGCACTCGGTCCGCTTTTCTTTCCCCCAAAATGGGACCCCGAAACCCGCACGTGGAACCAAGTTACGAATAAGCCACGGATCCTGTGAAATATGAAACGATCACTGGTGCTGTAGAGGTTCGCTTACAGACAAACTCCCATATCGAATTGCTTCTTGTACTTAAAGTCCGTGTCGTGTTAATTGATAGTGATGCCTTCTTTATCGTGTTCTGTCAGTCATTTCCGATACAGATGTTCTCCACTGACACATCATCTTTGTTGGTCTCTCTCTCTCTCTCTCTCTCTCTCTCTCTCTCTCTCTCTCTCTCTCTCTCTCTCTCTCTCTCTCTCTCTCTCTCTCTCTCTCTCTCTCTCTCTCTGCCTCTTTTTCCATATCTAGATGGTTGACATTGTGTGCAGGTTGGCAGAGAGGTTAGACAGCTAAGCAATTTTAGGTCTCTCTCTCTCTCTTTTTTTTTTAATGTAATTTTTAACGTTGTTGTAACTTATTGCAGTTTTCGTCTAAGAGTGTAGTTTATCCACTTCTGGTACTGATAGCTACTATTTAAGCAGTTGTCTTTAACCCAGGCGGGGGAGAGGGGGTGTGGAGTGAGTGAGTGAGTGACTTTCTACCCCACCAGGACATCACACAAGCGATAAACACCCGATGACACAACGTGCCACCATGTGGATGAGGATCACCGTGGAGAGGTCCCAGAAACCGCGTTCAGACATTTTGCCATTTTTATGGCCTGCCTATATTGCGGCCCCTGACAAAAGCCAGAGTGGGGCTTCAAAAAACAAAAAATTACGTCCTGAAAAGGACGTAAAGACTATATGGAGTGTCTCCGTGAAGTGGTCTAGACATTCGCCACGCGCTCCAAGGCTCAAGGGTTCATTTAATGGACTTATTGTTCAGATCATGAGCGCAATGTTTAGGGTCCACGAGGACTGTCGCTGGAGCTATAACATTTGTGCTGTGTGCGACGTTCTCGGTAGACAGCTAATCATTCTTCAGAGAGAGACCGAGCTATACGCAACAATCATCAGCAGGAATATTGATACTCTCGACTTTAACTTTTGATTGGGAACACCATATACAGTCGGTATCGATATAGTGTCATCGACGTTAAAGTCAACGCCGGGATCTGCATTGACCAAACTGTGGTCGTTAATTTAATTAGAATGTGTGTGCTTCGTCTACACACAAACAAGTGTCTGCGGCCTCACCTCATCAAGTGTCTTCAGGCAAAGTTTAATGTGGGCGAAAGTAAACATGGCGTACACTGGACATGTTCACATGAAGTAAGGATTTATTAAAATCCAAGGTATGTTGGTCATTAGTGCTTCCATTGACATTTCTTTCGGTGATTATTAATTAATAATTTATGAGGCAGAGAAAGGTTTTTATTTTCAAACTGAATCTGTTTACTACAACACCATCTTTGTAAAATTTCTAGATTATATAATATCTACTATAATTCCACCCCCCACCCCCCACCCCACCCCACCCCACCCCCCCCCCCCCGCCTCCCGTTTGCATGTAGACAATTAAAATGTCAGTTTGTAATTACTCACATGAATACAAGTATATATCGTTAGTACCCCATCATTACATGCATTCCCAAGGTGGTTAAAAACTATTGAGCAGTAACCCATAATTATCTGGCTACTGATAGGGAACTTCTTCTTTGTTCACCGGTTGTAAGTTCCGGCGGAAAGTCCTGGTTGTTCGTCCATTTGGACTTTAGCTTTGTGCCATTGCCATAGATTTGCGTGTAATTCCGTTTTACTGGCTTATTTGTGTACAGCTTGTCGTTCCTTGCCCCTCGGGCAGATGCACTTCGACTTCGAAGAAAGTTCCCAGTTAGTCAACTCCTACTACATGCTTGCTGTGGAGGCAGTGGGTCTGTTCTTGTTCTTCCCAAAATGGAGTCAAGTAACCACCACAGGGAGATAAGAAATTGATATAAACATACTTTAACGAATTTTTTTTTTAACCGAATGTCGTTCTCGTTGTGACCTCAACGAAAGATGCAACTTACACCAGTCTCTTGTCTTATGAATGTTCACGTCTGATCGACTGTCTCTTGTCTTATGAATGTTCACGTCTGATCGACTGTCTCTTGTCTTATGAATGTTCACGTCTGATCGACTGTCTCTTGTCTTATGAATGTTCACGTCTGATCGACTGTCTCTTGTCTTATGAATGTTCACGTCTGATCGACTGTCTCTTGTCTTATGAATGTTCACGTCTGATCGACTGTCTCTTGTCTTATGAATGTTCACGTCTGATCGACTGTCTCTTGTCTTTATGAATGTTCACGTCTGATCGACTGTCTCTTGTCTTATGAATGTTCACGTCTGATCGACTGTCTCTTGTCTTATGAATGTTCACGTCTGATCGACTGTCTCTTGTCTTATGAATGTTCACGTCTGATCGACTGTCTCTTGTCTTATGAATGTTCACGTCTGATCGACTGTCTCTTGTCTTATGAATGTTCACGTCTGATCGACTGTCTCTTCCTCCAAGAATCATTTTCTAAGCTCACATTGTCATTTAATGTGGCCAAAATATTTCAGTGTCTTGAAATATGGCAGCTTATGGTCTTGTTTTCTTCAGCGTTCTAAATTGTATGGAATGTCAGTATACTTCTTTATACACACACTTAATACTGCAACTACAAGACAATGTTAGAGTCCTCCCTTTAGATATTTTCTACAGGGTATACAAGTGTGTTGGAAAATAAACAGGCAGACATATTTGGTTGGTTTTGCATTACCTTGTGGTAAATTAATGCACGACAAGCCCTTTGACAGCGAGTAAACACAGCAAAAGAACGGTAAGATCATCCACATATGGGGTCAAATCGTGCAACATAGCATTGAGTGTATGAGGACAAATTGTGCAACAGAGCAGTGAGTGTATGGGGACAAATTGTGCAACAGAGAAGTGAGTGTATGGGGACAAATCGTGCAACAGAGCATTGGGTGTATGTCGACAAATCGTGCAGCAGAGGAGAGAGTGTATGGGGACAAATTGTGCAGCAGAGCCGTGAGTGTATGGGGTCAAATTGTGCAACAGAGCAGTGAGTGTATGGGGACAAATCGTGCAGTAGAGCAGTGAGTGTATGGGGACAAATGGTGCAGTAAAGCAGTGAGTGTATGGGGACAAATTGTGCAGCAGAGTAGTGAGTGTATGGGGACAAATCGTGCAACAGAGCAGTGAGTGTATGGGGACAAATCGTGCAGCAGAGCAGAAAGTGTATGGGGACAAATTGTGCAACAGAGCAGTGAGTGTATAGGGACAAACTGATGCAGCAGAGCAGTGAGTGTATGGGGACAAACTGATGCAGCAGAGCAGTAAGTGTATGGTGACAAATTGTGCAGCAGATCAGTAAGTTTATGGGGACAAACTGATGCTGCAGAGCAGTCAGTGGCCGACAGTCAACACTTAAGTCAAGTCAGGAAGGTCGTTTAATCAGACTTCTATTGCAACTATCAAATCGGAGCTTGGCATTTACTCCTGAAGACTTCGCGAGTGCTGTAGTGTCGGTTGATAACTCAGCCTCACTTAGCTCAACTCACTTAACTCAATTTATTCAAACCCTCCCCCACCACACACCCCACCCTAGCTGAACTCTTGACAGTGCTGTTTGTGAAACTATTTAACTCTTGACAGTGTTCTTTGTGAAACAATTTAACTCTTTAAAGTGCTGTTTGTGAAACAATTTAACTCTTTAAAGTGCTGTTTGTGAAACAATTTAACTCTTTAAAGTGCTGTTCGCGAAACAATTTCACTCTTGACAGTGCAGTTTGTGAAACAATTTCACTCTTGACAGTGCTGTTTGTGAAACAATTTCACTCTTTAAAGTGCTGTTTGTGAAACAATTTCACTCTTGACAGTGCTGTTTGTGAAACAATTTCACTCTTTAAAGTGCTGTTTGTGAAACAATTTCACTCTTGACAGTGCTGTTTGTGAAACAATTTCACTCTTTAAAGTGCTGTTTGTGAAACAATTTCACTCTTGACAGTGCTGTTTGTGAAACAATTTCACTCTTTAAAGTGCTGTTCGTGAAACAATTTCACTCTTGACAGTGCAGTTTGTGAAACAATTTCACTCTTGACAGTGCTGTTTGTGAAACAATTTCACTCTTTAAAGTGCTGTTCGTGAAACAATTTCACTCTTGACAGTGCTGTTTGTGAAACAATTTCGCTACAATTAAATATGCTATTCAGAAGATATATCGCAACTTTAAGACAGGGTTGCTAAGAAACCAATATCGTTAATATTCAACAGAAATATTTTTAATTTTTTGTAATTCTACTTGTGAGAAAGTTTACTACAGTCAACCTCCAGCGTTATTGTTAAAATATGAACATTTACACTAAACTGTTGTTCTAAACTAAGTAATTAAAGAACGTAAAGGACCCCTTTCCACCTCTTTAGGCGCTTTTGGCATATGTATATATATATATATATATATATATATATATATATATATATATATATATATATATATATATATGCCAAATATTTTATACATCAATCGGCACTTGGTGAGTGATGTGGTCAGCATTACGCCGGCCGCCTTCATTTCCCAGGACTACACTTGGTTACCCAATCAAGGCTGGGTCGATCTGGGAGCTAAGGTCATTTTTGAAGGGAAATAAAAGTCCGGCTCTGTCAGAACCCGAACTCACTACCAGACCCGAACTCACTACCAGACCCGAACTCACTACCAGACCCGAACTCACTACCAGACCCGAACTCACTACCTTCAGACAGGCAGGGCACTACACCACAGCGACTCCCATATTGTAAACTGGTAATTTATAATTGTTAACCTCATTATGTTTCTGATAAAAAATGTCCTTATCTGCTGCAGATTTCAAACCAGCCTAAGATGACAGAAGTCAACTGGATAAAAGTATGCACCCGTATAAAGATTATCGTGCCCATCTGCATTGTTGGCTTCCTTGCAAACTTCCTCCTGTTTAGTCGCAACAGTTCATACTTCACAAGAGCGTTAAAGGAGCCGGAATGTAAGTGTTTCAGTGTAGATTCTGTAAACGTATGTAGGTGATTACAACAAGGACAGTGTGAACTTGAAGCGTTTCAGTGTAGATGCTGGAAACGTATGTAGGTCACTACAAGAACAGTGTGAACTTAAGTGTTTCAGTGTAGATGCTGGAAATTTATGTAGGTGATTACAAGGACAGTGTGAACTTAAGTGTTTAAGTGTAGATGCTGTAAACGTATGTAGGTCACTACATCGAGGACAGTGTGAATTGAAGTGTTTCAGTGTAAATGGGACCTGTAGGTTATTGGAGGAAGAAAATTCTACGTCTATTTCAGTGTAAATGTTCGAAAAGTCTGCCTGTAAGTGATTTAATAAAGGATGGTATGAATGTAAGCATTTCAATGTAGATGATGGTAAGTGTGATGTGTCTTCATTAGGGTGTTGAAAGTATCTCATGTGAAAGTTTTTCAAATGCAGCATTTGACAAAATACAGAATATTCTAGGCAATCTGTCTTTGCCAGTTAAAACGTCAAAGGAGGCATTTTACCACTCCCCAAACACGCAAAAACAAACAAACAAAAATATTATTCTAGGCAATCTGTGCTTGCCAATTGAGGCGAAAAGGGGAATTAAAGTAGCTCTATAAATCCTATGACATACGCAAGTGAATCATGGATAATTTGCCGAATTGGAAATATCCATGTGGAAGTGGTGAAGATGTAATTTCATAGGGCGATGACGAGAACACCCTGGATATATTGAAAACGAAACAATTAATGACGAATTCTTGAAAAAAAACTAACTCACTGATAAATGAATGACCACATCAGCAGGGACAGGCTACATTCTGCGGTCCTGTCATGAGATAGGAAAACTGGACTACAGCGTGACAGTGAGAAAACTGGATGGGAACAGAGACAGAGGGACAGGCTACATTCTGCGGTCCTGTCATGAGATAGGGAAACTGGACTACATCGTGACGGTGAGAAAACTGGATGGAAACAGAGACAGAGGGACACCGAGAAAAAAAGATGATGGACAGTTTAACATCATAACATAGAATATCATTTGAGTTAGTTAGAACTGACTGAAACTACAAGAGACATAAAATTGTGGATAGACTTGACTGCTGATGCCACACAGCATTAATTTACAGGAACGGAAATGTGTGTTGTAAAGTCAAAACACTGAGATAATTAAGATTTCAGTAGAAATGTCTCTTGCAGGAGAATGTTTCATTCCGTACAGGAAACTAAAATGATATCTTTACCATGCAGAGTTTACAGGCACACACCATGGATGTCTGTTGTAATGTTTATATGCAGACATCATGAAGTGTATATTGTAACATGTCAGTACAGACACTGAGAATGTGTATTGTAACATGTCAGTACAGACACTGAGAATGTATGTTGTAACATGTCAGTACAGACACTGAGAATGTATGTTGTTACATGTCAGTACAGACACTGAGAATGTATGTTGTAACATGTCAGTACAGACACTGAGAATGTGGTTGTTACAATCAGTATGTGTGGGTTGTAACATGTCAGTACAGACACTGAGAATGTATGTTGTTACATGTCAGTACAGACACTGAGGAATGTTTGTGTTGTTACATGTCAGTACAGACACTGAGAATGTATGTTGTTACATGTCAGTACAGACACTGTGTGTTGTACATGAACAGACACTGAGAATATGTTGTTACATGTCAGTGCAGACACTGAGAATGTATGTGTTGTCAGTACAGACACTGTCATGTCAGTACAGACACTGAGAATGAATGTATGTTGTTACATGTCAGTACAGACACTGAGAATGTATGTTGTAACATGTCAGTACAGACACTGAGAATGTGTGTTGTTACATGTCAGTACAGACACTGAGAATGTGTGTTGTTACATGTCAGTACAGACACTGAGAATGTATGTTGTAACATGTCAGTACAGACACTGAGAATGTATGTTGTAACATGTCAGACACAGACACTGAGAACACTGTGTGTTGTTACATGTCAGTACAGACACTGTCAGAATGTGTGTTGTAACATGTCAGTACAGACACTGAGAATGTATGTGTTACATGTCAGTACATGTCAGTACAGTCACACTGAGAATGTTTGTTGTTACATGTCAGTACAGACACTGAGAATGTTTGTTGTAACATGTCAGTACAGACACTGGGAATGTTTGTTGTTACATGTCAGTACAGACACTGAGAATGTATGTTGTTACATGTCAGTACAGACACTGAGAATGTATGTTGTTACATGTCAGTACAGACACTGAGAATGTATGTTGTTACATGTCAGTACAGACACTGAGAATGTTTGTTGTTACATGTCAGTACAGACACTGAGAATGTATGTTGTGAGAATGTACATGTCAGTACATGTCAGTACAGACACTGAGAATGTATGTTGTTACATGTCAGTACAGACACTGAGAATGTGTGTTGTTACATGTCAGTAAGACATGTCAGTTGTTAACATGCAGACACTGAGAATGTATGTTGTGTAAAGACATGTCAGTACACAGACACTGAGAATGTGTTTTGTTGTTCAGTACAGGACATGAGAATGTATGTTGTTACATGTCAGTGCAGACACTGAGAATGTGTGTTGTTACATGTCAGTACAGACACTGAGAATGTATGTTGTTACATGTCAGTACAGACACTGAGAATGTTTGTTGTTACATGTCAGTACAGACACTGAGAATGTATGTTGTTACATGTCAGTACAGACACTGGGAATGTTTGTTGTTACATGTCAGTACAGACACTGAGAATGTATGTTGTTACATGTCAGTGCAGACACTGGGAATGTTTGTTGTTACATGTCAGTACAGACACTGAGAATGTATGTTGTTACATGTCAGTAGCAGACACTGAGAATGTATGTTGTTACATGTCAGTACAGACACTGTTGTACAATGTGGGAATGTTGTTTACATGTCAGTACAGACACTGAGAATGTATGTTGTTACATGTCAGTACAGACACTGAGAATGTATGTTGTTACATGTCAGTACAGACACTGAGAATGTATGTTGTTACATGTCAGTACAGACACTGGAATGTTGTGTTGTTACATGTCAGTACAGACACTGGGAATGTTTGTTGTAACATGTCAGTACAGACACTGGAAATGTATGTTGTAACATGTCAGTACAGACACTGGGAATGTATGTTGTAACATGTCAGTACAGACACTGGAAATGTATGTTGTAACATGTCAGTGCAGACACTGGGAATGTATGTTGTAACATGTCAGTACAGACACTGGGAATGTATGTTGTAACATGTCAGTGCAGACACTGAGAATGTATGTTGTTACATGTCAGTACAGACACTGAGAATGTATTTTGTAACATGTCAGTACAGACACTGAGAATGTTGTTACATGTCAGTTGTGTTGTACATGTCAGTGCAGACATGTTTGTTGTTGAGTGCAGACACACTGAGAATGTATGTTGTTACATGTCAGTACAGACACTGAGAATGTATGTTGTAACATGTCAGTACAGACACTGAGAATGTATGTTGTTACATGTCAGTGCAGACACTGAGAATGTATGTTGTTACATGTCAGTACAGACACTGGGAATGTTTGTTGTTACATGTCAGTGCAGACACTGAGAATGTTTGTTGTAACATGTCAGTGCAGACACTGGGAATGTTTGTTGTTACATGTCAGTACAGACACTGAGAATGTATGTTGTTACATGTCAGTGCAGACACTGAGAATGTATGTTGTTACATGTCAGTGCAGACACTGAGAATGTATGTTGTTACATGTCAGTACAGACACTGGGAATGTTTGTTGTTACATGTTTGTTGTTACAGGTGTACAGACACTGAGAATGTATGTTGTTGTTGTACATGTCAGTGCAGACACTGAGAATGTATGTTGTTACATGTCAGGTACAGACACTGAGAATGTTTGTGTTACAGACACTGGGAATGTTTGTGTTACATGTCAGTGCAGACACTGAGAATGTATGTTTGTACATGTCAGTGCAGACACTGGGAAGTTGTGTCAGTGCAGACAATGTGTTGTTGTTACATGTCAGTACAGACACTGAGAATGTATGTTGTTACATGTCAGTGCAGACACTGAGAATGTATGTTGTTACATGTCAGTGCAGACACTGAGAATGTATGTTGTTACATGTCAGTACAGACACTGGGAATGTTTGTTGTTACATGTCAGACACTGAGAATGTACAGAGTACACTGAGAATGTATGTTGTTACATGTCAGTACAGACACTGGGAATGTTTGTTGTTACATGTCAGTGCAGACACTGAGAATGTATGTTTTTACATGTCAGTACAGACACTGGGAATGTGTGTTGTTACATGTCAGTACAGACACTGAGAATGTATGTTGTTACATGTCAGTACAGACACTGTTGTGTTGTTGTCAGTACATGTGTATGTTGTTACATGCAGAGACACTGAGGATGTATGTGTTACATGTCAGTACAGTACTGTTTGTGTGTTTACAGTGTCAGTACAGAAATGTATGTTGTTACAGTGTACAGAACTGTGAATGTATGTTTACATGTCAGTACAGAGAATGTATGGTGTTACATGTGTGTATGTTTACATGTCAGTACAGACAGTAGAGAATGTGTGTTGTTACTGTGTGCAGACACTGTAATGTGTTGTTACATGTCAGTACAGATACTGTGAATGTATGTTGTAACATGTCAGTACAGATATTAATAATGTATGTTGCAAAGATTTCCTTGAAGGAAGCATGCATTTCTTTTTCCTCGGATTTGCAATTGTTTCACTTGGACATATTGGTGTGTGTCTGTACAGATATTCTTCATGTTG